TTCATTCTCAGCAAAGGAAAGCGAGTGGGAATGGTGGAGGCCATATCCAGGCCACCATGGTTAAGACACAGATTTGCCTTCTCTATTCTTACTTTCCCTTCTGCTGGCTGGACATAGAGGATGCAGAGGGCCTGGAGGATAATGAATCATGAGTGCAAGAAGCTGGGGGTGTCTGAATTACCGCATGGTGGAAAAACTCCCCCCGAACAGGGAACTCTGGCTTTGGGCTGCTCTTTGAGAGAGACATAAATTCTTTGTGTTCAACCACTGAAATGTGGAGGATTATTTGTTACAGCAGTGTATTAGTCAGGGTTTTCCAGACAGATAGGACCAATATGTTATGTATATGTATGGAAAGAGATTCATTGAGATTTATTGTAAGGGATTGGCTCATACAATTATGAAGGCTGGCAAGTTCAAAATCTGCAAGGTAGTCAGTCAGGCATGGTGACATGCGCCTGTAATCCCAGCTACTGGAGAGGCTGAGGCAGGAGGATCACTTGATCCTAGGAGGTCAAGGCAGCCATGATCATGCCACTGGACTTTAGCCTGGATGACGGAGTGAGACTCTGTCTCAACAATCAAACAAACAAACAAAAATCTGCAAGGTAGGTCAGCAGGCTGAAGACCCAGGAAAAGCTGATGTACAGTTCAAGTCCAAAGACCATGTGCTAGTAGAGTTTCCTCTTGCTAAGGCGAGGTGAGACCTTTGTTCTATTCACCCCTTCCACTGATTAGATGAGACCGACCCACACCATGGAGGGCAATCTGCTTTACTCAAAGTTGATGGATTTAAATACTAATCTAATTCAAAAGCACCCTCACAAAAACATCCAGACTAATGTTTCACCGCTCTCTGGGCACCGTGGCCCAGCCAATTAACCATCCCAAGCAGCTAACACTTCCTTTATTTACACCAAGATGTGTTGAGACTGATAGCCAACCCATGCAGAAATGTCATTTTTCTCACTCCTTTGTCTTCACTCAGAGGCTGTTCCTACCCTGGTAAAGACATTATTTTCAAGGTATATTGAATACCTCAAACTTTCTACCAAAATATAATGACTTGTTTGCAAAAGTCCTGGAGAACAGAGGATAATCATGACATTGTGTAATCCATTATGTCTGCATAGGAAAGGATATGGTCACCTGGGTTTTATTAAACTATTTCTGTCTCTGCCTAGAATCAGAATCAGGCAGTGAAGATTACCACCAAGGAGCCTGCCCCACGTTTCCATTTTCAACAGAAATAAATGATGGGTTATTCTTGTAGCGAGTGCCCTTTAGAGAGAGGTTGTCTGACTCCTGTTGTGTTCACTGTTGTGCCTCTCATGTCTTGATTCTTATGATGAAGTTTATAAGCAGGGTAGAACAATAGGACTGAAAAGAGGATGGCTATAAACCAGTACCTTAGGGAACAACTAGTAAAATTAACTTTCTTACCTTTGGCAGCAAAAAGGGGCACTCAAAAGCTACATCTCCCCTGACCCTTGACATGTTTTGTAAGAAGTGGAGGGGAATTAGTATTATTTCTTGGCTCTAACAATAAAACTAAAAAGTTTGCTACAACCAGCACTCTGGTCAATGCCCTGTAATAATCTAGGTAGCTTTCTACCCTCTTTATGAAGCCCACCCTTACCGCTCTAGAACTCTTTATTTCTTTTCTTTTCTTTTCTTTTCTTTCTTTTTTTTTTTTTTGAGATGGAGTCTTGCTCTGCTGCCCAGGCTAGAGTGCAAGGGGGCAATTTCAGCTCACTGCAACCTCCACCTCCCAGGTTCAAGTGATTCTCCTGCCTCAGCCTCCCGAGTAGTTGGAATTACAAGCGCCCACTACCACACCCGGCTAATTTTTGTATTTTTAATACAAACAGGGTTTCACCGTGTTGGTCAGGCTGGTCTCAAACTCCTTACCTTAGATGATCCAGCCTCCTCAGTCTCCCAAAGTGCTGGGATTACGCCTGGCCAGGACTATTTATTTCACAGGCATTTATTCACAAATATCTATCGAGCATCTACTGTATAGTGCTGTATAGCACTACATCAGGAATCGTAAAGAACTCGAAAAAGCACAAGTTGTGGTCTCATACATCTCAATAAACTCAAGATATAATATCCACGTACACTAACTTTGTGTGTGTGAGAGTGTATATGCTTAAAGAATAATGCTATTCTGCTTTTATTTATTTTTTTTATTTTTTGAGTCACTGTGTTGCCCAGGCTGGAGTGCAGTGGTGCAGTCACCGCCTACTGCAGCCTGGACTTCCTGGGCTAGGCGATCCTCCTGCCTCCGCCTGCTGAGTAGCTGGGACCACAGGCACACACCACCACATCCTGCTAATTTTAAAAATTATTTGTACCCATTGGGTCTCTCTATGTTGTTCAGGCTGGTCTCAAACTCCTAGTCTCAAGCAGTCCTCCCACCTCAGTGCTGGGATTACAGGCGTGAGCCACTGCACCTGCCCAAGGCCAGGAGGAACTTTAACCCTCTGTGTTCCTCCTGGACTTTCTTTGTCTAGGATATCTGAACACTGTCTATGGCTGGTAGAAGGGGCTGGTTTTATAGATCCCTTACCTTGAAGGCCAATCTGCCTCTCTGATTTCTTTTTAAAAATCCCTTTTTCCTCTGAATTGTAATGGAATTACATAATCACTACGGAGGGGACCTGGGACAGGGACAAGAGGAGACAGGGAGATCTTCTCATTTGTTGGGGAGAGTAGGAGTGTCCGGCAGCCCGGGGGACTGTGGGCCTGGTCTACTTCCTGAGAGTCCCTCCCTGATTCTAGAAGGAGGCCAGGGCAGACATGGCATGAGGAGGAAGCCTGTTGACTGGTTAACTTGCAAAAAATCTTAGCAAGGTGCCGGCGCGAATGCACCCTGAGACTTCCTGCTTTCACTATACAGTGCAGCTCTCGGTTTATTTATCAGATTGAAACGTTTGTTTGTTTATTTATTTATTTTAGACAGAGTCTCACTCTGTCACCCAGGCTGGAGTGCAGTGGCGCCATCTTGGCTCACTGCAACCTCCGCCTCCCGGGCTCAAGTGATTCTCCTACCTCAGCCTCCAGAGTAACTGGGATCACAGGCATGCACCAGCACGCCCGGCTAATTTTTGCTTTTTTTTTAGTAGAGACAGGATTTCACCATGTTGGCCATGGTGGTCTCAAACTCCTGGGCTCAAGTGATCTGCCTGCCTTGGCCTCCCAAAGTGCTGGGATTACAGGAGTGAGCCACCGTGCCTGGCCCGGATTGAAAAGTTGAGAATGAGGTTTAGGTGCTTTTGTTGCGTTCGACCTTCAGTAATTCCTCTAGGCTAGGCTTCAATCCCAGTAACCAAACTCACCAGTCCTTGCTCCCAAATATAACTGCTAATTTCCTCTTCTTTTTTCAAGCCGAACCTCAAAAAGTTAGCCTGGCAAGGCTGGAGAAGGGTGAGATTTCCCCTCTTGTCACATAAACAAGGAAGTAAAGGAGGCCCTTGTGCTCTCAGAACTCCAAGCATGAAACAATGTGCGTTAAGCATTTAAATCACTTGTCTGGGATGAAGCATAAAAAGCTTGATTTTTTTTTTTTTAAACCAATTAGGTTTGAGCCTTCATGATACATTTTGGGACCTGTGGTTATCACTGCAATTATACTTCAATTCATGCGTTGGATGCTTTGAAAAGGTTTAATAAACAACAATAAGAATATCAGCTGCCATTTATATCTATGCTCCTGGCACTGTCCCAGGGGCTTTAATATGGTACCTATAACCCTTCCAATTATTCTCATTTTAGAGTGGAGATAACTAAGACACAGAGAGGTAAAAAACAAGCAAACCAAAAACCTGCCCAAGGACACGTGATAGGTCTGAGGTAGGCATGGTGGCGCATGTCTGTGATCCCAGTTAATCTGGAGGCTGAGGCAGGGTTCACACTCCAGGCTCTTGGCTTACCGAAGCTCTCTTCGTTTATTCCACTATCTCATAAGAAAAATGAAGCAAATCAAGTCACACTTCAAATCAATTGAGGAGATTTTGCTGTAGAAAGGAATCTGGTAAATCCCTTCATCAAATAAATAATACTTTGTGTGTAAATCTGGACTTATATAAAGTATATGTTTTTTTGGCATGGTTAAGGTGAGCTACCATGTTCCTTTCCAGAAAGTAAAGACGGTTTAAGGCATATGAAGGAGGCCTTTGTTCATTGCTTTGATGGATATTTATTCAGTGCTCCTCTGTGGGAATGCTAAGATGAGAAAAGCAGACGGTCCCTGTCCTCAGGGAGCATATCGTTTTTCACTACCCCTTATTATTGGGTTGCTAAAAAAGAGAATGTCTATTTTATTTAAGTGAGTAGTTTTAAAAACTTCTATTTTCTGCTTATCACAGTAATGCATCGCATTAAAAACTGTAAAAAAACCAAACATTATAAGAATGTATAATACAAAAAGTTAGTTTTCAGTATTGCCAGCCCCAAAGAAACAACCACGGTTACAGATGAAAATTTTAACCATTAAAACTCTTCCTCTAGAGGAGAAACACAGAATATCAGCTGGTAATTTCCCTGTCCTGGCTCCTGCAGCCCTTCAGGACTCGGAGATTTTTTTTTTTTTTTTTTACTGGGCGGCTCCTGACCTTGGGGCAAGCAGAAACAGCTGAAAGTAAATATGAAACAAAACTCTGGCCATGGGGCCTGAGAAAGGCTTTTTTCCACTGCCTTTTAAATGTATTTTCATGAAAAGACACCAAAGACATTTAAAGTTAGGATTGTTCTAGAAAATCCTGGATAGATGGCCACCAGATGTCTATGGGGAATCAGGGCACACCACAGTAAACACTCAATAGATATTTGCTGAAGGGAGGAATGAAGATTGTACTTATATTTAGAAAATTAAAACAACCCTGAAATACATGCTGGACTTCATAGGTTTTCGATTTATCTCCTCCTTTTTTTTCCCCATGCAGAGCAAAGGGAAAAATAACTAAGTGTTTCCTGGCTGAATTTTATTTTGCTTTCAGTTTCTGCCACTTCAGTTCCTGTTATCATGCTTTGAGGTGCACTGAACTGCAGCAAACCCAGGGGATCCAAGGCCATGTTGAAAAGCCTTTGACCGCAGTGCAGGGAGCAGAAGACATTAATGACGTGATGTCGACACAGCCCGCACTCAGGATCCTCCAGGAGAAGAACACAGAGATAACCCCGGATCAATGGTACTTTTTGAAAATGCTTTACTGCGAAAGAGTGGCTAGGGTTTTACAAGGGCTATGAAGAAACATATTTAGGTTAATAAAGCTTTTTATTGAGTGTTTACTGAGTGTTACTATGTGCTTTACATCTATTAACTCACTTCATCTTCAAAACAACCCTATAAAGACGTTACAACTATAATCCTCACCTTACAAATGAAACAACTGAGGCACAGTAAAGTGCAGTGGCCTGCCCAGGTGAGAAGCAAGACAGAATTTGAACCCAGGCAGCCTGACCCCAGGGTACAGGTATTAAGCCACTTTGCTATAGTGCCTTTCAGATGACAGAGAAACTTGATGAATTACTGGGTTACTGAATTTTAGTTTGCATAGGTTGTTTTTTTCCCCTTAAGAGTAGAAAAAAACATACCCGAAGTATTGAAAATAACATTTATTTTATTTATTTATTTGCTTGAGATGAAGTCTTGCTCCGTTGCCCAGGCTGGAGTGCAGTGGCACAATCTAGGCTCACTGCAACCTCTGCCTCCCCGGTTCAAGCGATTCTCCTGCCTCAGCCTCTGAAGTAGCTGTGATTACAGGCATGTGCCACCACACGCAGCTGATTTTTGTATTTTTAGTAGAGACGGGGTTTCGCCATGTTGGCCAAGCTGGTCTCGAACTCCTGACCTCAGGTATCCACCTGCCTCGGCCTCCCAAAGTGCTGGGATTATAGGTGTGAGCCACCGCGGCCAGCCAAAAATAACATTTAAAAAAGTTTTTTGGCTGGGTGCGGTGGCTCACGCCTGTAATCCTAGCACTTTGAGAGGCCGAGGTAGGGGGTTCGAGAACTCCTGAGGTCAGGAGTTCGAGAACAGAGTGGCCAACCTGGTGAAACCCCCATCTCTACTAAAAATACAAAAATTAGCTGGGTGTGGTGGTGCATGCCTGTAATCCCAGCTACTTCAGAGGCTGAGGCAGAAGAATCACTTGAACCTGGGAGGCAGAGGCTGCAGTGAGCCAAGATTGCACCACTGTACTCCAGCCTGGGTAACAGAGACAGACTCCATCTCAAAAAATAAAAATAAAAAATAAAAAAGCATTTATGCTTTGTTCTTATTAGAGCTATGATTTGTTCATTTTTTGCAAAATCATTTATTGAGTACCTACTATTTGTATAGCAATGTGCTATACAAATACCTGTCAGGAAAATAAAGGCAAGTAAAATATAATTCTATCCAGTAGTGTTTCCAGTGAGTTTTGGAATCTCACATATGTAGGTTTGAATCTCAGTCCCACCACCTACCAGCTGTGTGACTTCGTGCAGATTTCGTAACCTCTCTGAATTCAGTTTTCTCTGATAGTAAATAGGGACAAAGGCAGCTCTCTTACAGGACTGTCCCTACAGAGTAAATGTGCTAATGTTGTGTAGAATGTCCTGAAACATGGTAGGCACACAGTAACTATTAGCCAGGATCTATGAGGGAGATGAGACACAGACAAAACAAATGATGGCCAGGCACAGTGGCTCACACCTGTAATCCCAGCCCTTTGAGAGGCCAACATGGGGGTGGATCACTTCAGCCCAGGAGTTCAAGACCAGCCTGGGCAACATAGCAAAACCTCTCCTCCACGATAAACACAAAAATTAGCCAGGTGTGGAGGTGTGCACCTGTGGTCCCAGACACTCAGGAAGCTGAGGTGGGAGAATTGCTTAAGCCCTGGAGGCAGAGGCTGCAGTGAGCCGTGATCACGCCTAGGCACTCCAGCGTAGGCAACAGAGCAAGACTGTCTCATAACAAATGACTTCTCTATGGGACAGTCCAATGGGAGCTATAGAAAACCAATGGGAAGTAAAATTGGATGACTTATGCCCTTGACTGCAGGAATGCAATCACCATGGGTGATGGGAGGATACATGGGAGAATGGAGGCGGGGACTGAAGCCCTGCCATCCTTGTTTACTAGCTGCAATTAACCCTGGGAGTTTTTTAACCTCCAGCAGTCGGCTTCCCTCTGAGTTGTGGGTTGGCCCCAAAGATGCCAACATTTATTCCAGTTATAAGTTCTATTTTAACCAAATTTCTGGTCTCCATCTTTCCTTGGAGAATCACACAAGAAAGGAAATAAGACTGAATTTCTCCACAAATAAAATGATGTCATTTTTCTTTTCTTTTGAATTCCATTGATAGGCTAAGCATAGAAAATAGTCAACTGCTAGTGTCAAACTGGTAGATGAGCAGCACAGCACATCAAACCAAAACCTCAAGGTGTAGGAGTCTTTTTTTTTTAATCAAAATTATGCAAATAACAGATGAGGCTGCTCACGGTGACTCACACCTGTAATCCCAGCACTTTGGGAGGCCGAGGCAGGCAGATCACGGGGTCAGGAGTTCGAGACCAGCCTGACCAACATGGTGAAACTCCGTCTCTACCAAAAATACAAAAATTAGCCAGGTGTGGTGATGCACGCCTGTAATCCCAGCTACTTGGGAGGCTGTGGCAGGAGAATCACTTGAACCTGGGAGGCAGAGTTGCAGTGAGCTGAGACCGTACCATTGCACTCCAGCCTGGGCAACAGAGGGAGACTCTGTCTCAAAAAAAAAAAAAGAAAAGAAAAAATAACAGATGATTACCTGATCAGGGAGAAAATTCAAATATACAGAAACCCATGTTCAAAAAAATTAGAGTTCTTCATTTCCCTTATTTTATCTCCTCCACAGGGTATGTATAAATTTAAGTGAATAAAATGATTTTAATAAAGTCAATTTTAAAAATTAGCTTCTGCTCTAAAAGCCAGAATGACAAAATTTAGCCTTAGTTTGTGTTCTTGTTATCATTTATTCATTGATAGGCAGTATCTCTTTAGCTCTCATAGTAGTCAAGCTGTTATCTGAGTTCCAGGTACTATAAATTGTGTTTGTTTTTTTTTTTTTTTTTTTTGAGACAGGGTCTCATTCTATTGCCCAGGCTGGAGTACAGTGGCATGATCATGGCTCACTGCAGCCTTGAACTCCTGGGCTCAAGCAATCTTCCTGCCTTAGACTCCAGAGTAGGTGGGACTACAGGTGCACACCACCACTCTTGGCCATTTTAAAAAATTTTTTGTAGCGATAGGGTCTCACTATGTTGTCCAGGGTGGTTTTGAATTCCTGGCCTCAAGTGATCCTCACACTTCAGCCTCTCAAAGTGCTGGGCTTCAGATGCTACCATGCTCACTCTGTGTAATCTTTAATAGCTTCGCACAATAACTCAAAAGTCAGTTGTTCTCTCTTTAATGCTTTGGGTAAGATGCTGTGGAAAGTCGGCCTAAGAATTAGAATACCTTAGTTTTAGTTAGGGCATTTGTGACCAGCCACCTGTGGCTTGGAGTATCTTTGGTCCTGTGTCCTCACCTGCTAAAAATGCAAGTAAGGGTGTCCACTTATAGACCTACTATCTCTAAATTCTGTGTTTTCACATCTCAGTTTTGTTTTTCTGTTGTTGTTGTTTTTTGAGATGGCCTGGCCTGTTGTCCAGGCTGGAGTGCAGTGACATGATCTCAACTCACTGCAACCTCTGCCTCCTGTGTTCAAGAGATTCTCCTGCCTCAGCCTCCCAAGTAGCTGGGATCACAGGCACGCACCACCACGCCTGGCTAATTTTTGTATTTTTAGTAGAGACGGGGTTCCGCTGTGTTGGCTAGGCTGGTTTTGAACTCCTGACCTCAGGTGATCTGCCCGCCTCGGCCTCCCAAAGTGCTGGGATTACAGGTGTGAGCCACCGCACCCAGCCTTACATCTGAGTTATTAACTTCTCTTGATGGTACTCAAAGAAGAAGAAAAATATCCAGTTTAAATTATTTTTCTTTTGCTGACTGCAAGCAGAATTAGCTTATTTGTGCTTTTGCAAACTCCTACTCCTATGGTTCTGTCTTTTGTTTCAACCCCATAATGGCTATTTTGTATCTCAAACTTATATTCACATGATTACATCTGATTTATTTTGCATGTCAGTCTAACCACTAAGCATATGTCATCACATTACTTAATTTATAACAGAACATAAATTTGCTGTGTTGGCTCCTTTAGTTAAAATAGAATCTAGTAATTTATAGTCACCCACAAAGTAATTCACAGTGAAGAATACTAAATAACAATTAACAATGGCCAAGAGGCTCAGGAGAGAAAAAAATTCAAGGCTGATTTCTGTTAAAAAAAAAAAAATCATTTTCTTAAAAAAAAAAAAAAGGTACTATTCCTGTTTTCTATCTTTTTTTCTGGCATTCTGCTGTCCTCAGAGACAGGTTTTTGTTTGTTTTTGTTTTTTATTTTTGAGACAGAGTCTCGCTCTGTCGCCCATGCTGGAGTGCAGTGGTGCCATCTCAGCTCCCTGCAACCTCTGCCTCCCGGGTTCAAGCGATTCTCCTGCCTCAGCCTCCTGAGTAGCTAGGACTACAGGCATGTGCCACCACGCCTGGCTAATTTTTTATTTTTATTTTAATTTTTTTAGTAGAGACGGGGTTTTACTGTTAGCCAGGATGGTCTCAATTTCCTGACCTTGTGATCCGCCTGCCTCGGCCTCCCAAAGTGCTGGGATTACAGGCGTGAGCCACCGTGCCTGGCCACCAGAAACAGTTTTATACTCTTCATTTTTGGAAGAGTCCCTCTCTAAAAAGCCTCAGAATCTTTTAGCATCTTTTTGCAGGGGGAGAGGGGAAGGTATCCAGAGAATCTAATGAAATCTATAGCTTGTCTTCCAGAAAATGCATAGATACACACAAATCTCCAAAGTCATAGCCATTTCTGTGGACTCCAGTTTAAGAATCTCTGGCTTAGAAGTTGGGAAAAACGAGATCCAAAAATGTTGGATATATGATTACTGACTATATTATACAGCAAACAATGGTATAAGCCAGATCCTTAGTGTTCCAAAATATTTAACATATAATTTGGGTAGGGAGTAAATTAACTCCTATTTACAATCCAGTAAATTTATGAAAAAATGTTAACAGGTTTGGTTAACCAAGTCTGGGTTTGAGACCACTGTGCCCCTCTCCAGAACAGTAGAGAAAAAAGTAAGGAAATCCTTCCATTGTAACTGACTTGTTTCCTTTTCAGAACAGGAATATATCTTTTAACATGCATTG